CACAGCCATTATATAGAATAGCATTGATTGGATGTACTAAACGTGAGCCTTGATGACAATTGATCACAATGAACTCTGCTCACTGAGGAGTCTGGTACACTAATTGAGGAGCCATCCTTAAATAGAATAATAAATAGAAGAGGAGGGGAGAGGAGAAATGGCTACAGAGCTAAGGTGCTGCCTGTCTGTGCAATGAAACAATATAAAACAAAGAATCAGGAAGGCCTCTGTGTGCTGGATGTCCTCTAACTTCCAAGCCCCCTTTTCAAACACCAAATGAACTTGTGAACTCTCACAGGTCATCTCCACAATATGTGCCACATCTGGGAAACCTGTTCCAAAGAGTGAACAACACCTCAGAAGGAACATTTCCAAAAGTAAATTCCACAAAGATGCCATAAACCCCAGAAGTCTCATCTGTGACCAACCTCCATTGGTCAGCTTGGAATCAGGCCTCAGACTGCATGTGTAACCAAAATTTGTTCTTTAGAGTGAGCAGCTGCCCAGGCTGCTTTTCTTGGTTTTGTTCAGGACAAGCTGCACATGGAAGAGTTTGAAACACTGTGTTATTAAATTTGGCACTAACAGTTTGTAGTTCTCACTACAGCACAAGGAAATGCATGCTGGTAGAAAACAAGTTCCGAACATCTTCATTATCCTGAAAACTTATTCTGAAAGTATCCCCAGCCCCAGATCAAGATCAAACAGCATCAAGGTACTGAAGAAACTCATCCCAGCAAAAGCAAATGTTGTACTGCATCCAGGAACATCCTGGGTTTGTCACCTCTACAGAGTGTTAAAATGCAAAAAAAAAAAAAAACTTCCAAAAAAACTCAGGGGTTAGACCCCTACCTGATTTTGAATGAACTAAAGGACAGAAGCAGTTCTGATTTTGGTTTGTGATACGCAAGAGATGGCCTGGAGAAACGCCACACAGCAAAGGCTGCTGAAACGTCAAGCAAGCACAAGTTTTGCGGGTAGTAAACCACTATCAGTGTTTGAAAATGCAGTGTTCGGAGTGTGCAACCTTATATCTACGTTTTCGTGGTTTCCTGGAAATGAGAGAGCCGGCTGTGCGAGGCAGTGTGCTGCCAGTGACTGGACGCCACCAGATGGCCCCCGTTGCATATCTCTGCTAACGCTCAGCCACGCACCTTGCACAGCCAGCCGACGGAAAAAGTCAGAGTTAAGCATTTAAACCTTCCCAAATGTAAGACAGCCGCAGAAAAAGACATTTGGAGCCAACTGAATAAAGGATTTGAGCTACATCAATCCATACCTTTCCCCAGGTATGGTACAGGGAAAGATCATTATAAAAATGAGCACACTGCCCAAGTTTCAGCAAAGAACTTTTTAAAATAGATCTGGTTTTCTATCCACACAGCTGTTAAAGCAGTGATATCTTCAAGAATTAGAAGCAGCAGTTATTTTTGTTCTCTACCCCACCCACATAGCAGGAGGGAGTTATTTTATTCACTCATTCCAACCTACATTTATTTCCAACTCATGGCTCATTTCCTTAGGCAGCTCAAGTTTGGGATGAATGCACCCTGGACCACTGTGGTTTGTTTCAGTTTCCTGATGTATTAGTGCCACATCAGCATCCCACATGTGAGGGATGCTAACAGCAAGAGTTGTACCAGCTAGCAACACCAAATTAAAAAGCAAGGCTACCTAGAATGTAGGTCTTCCCTGCACTTATTAGCTGTATCATATTTAATTTGGGATAAGGTCATCCAGTCAATTAAAAGAACAAGGCTCCTTGGTTAAGGTCAAATATATTAAATGGTAAACAGCAGAGGAAATTTGTGCTCTGGAGGAAGAGTGTTCACAGGCTTATCCAAGATGATGATACATCTCGTCTGTTGTTTGCACATCTATCAGATAATAAACACATAAACAATATAACAAGCAAAAACATTAATTACACTGACAGGGTTTGTCCTAGGTTGACTATATGATGCTTTTATCCCCAATCGTCTTGTTCTGTTTATGCTGGATAATAAGTTTTGCACCTTTAAGAGTGTTCCAGATAGTGAAGGGGGGAGAGAAGAAGCAGCAGTTTGTTTTCAGACGCTGCACTCACTCCTCCACATTCCTGCTCCTGGACTGTGTCACCTGCAGATGGACAGACAGTGGGACAGAGGTCTCCTTTGCTTTTAGTTAGTTTAGCTAGCTGAGGCAAAGAAGTTCCCTGGACTGTAGGGGTTTTTTTTCCTTTTTCCTTTTTCTTTGGACCTGTTCAAACCTGCTCTGGACTGAACACCAGCAGAGCACTGGGAGCTGCACCTGTGGCCCACCGGGCCAGGCCTGGGCCACGACATTTCCAGCCCCAGAGGGACTGATCAGAGACCGAGTGAGCTGAGCTGCAACCCGGGGAGGGGACTCTCTCAGTTGGTCATCTCTTTTGGAGCAACAAGGGGTTTTATTGATTAATAAACAGGTTTTTTCCAATTTTCTCCAAGGAGGTATTTTCTCCCAGACTGCCTGGGGAGAGGGGCCAATTGAATCTGCTTTCCTGGAGGAGCCCCTTTGGGGGTTCTCTCCAAAATTTGCCCTGAACCAGGACAGGGTTTTTTTGTTATTTTTTTTTCTTTGATTGGTTTTGTTTTGGGCATTAATTGCCTGGTCCACCCAAATACTGCACTTGCTTCCATTTTAGCCTATCATTTCTCACAAATGAGCACAAGACCATGCTGCATTTCATCCTGCAAAGGTACATGGTAAAAATGAGGAGCTCTAATAATATTTCCTCTAGCCAGGTCTGATGAGCTCTCAGGGAAACATCACACCTGAGATAGCCCAGCTACCTCAGATGGCATAAAAGCAGCAGAATGGCTTCTGAGGTAGTGTTGGAAACAGAAAAGTTTTAATAAAAGGCAAAATGACAAAGGTCTTTACAGAGAAAAACTGGCTCTTGCCCCAGGTAAAACACCCCACAAAAGCAATTACTTGCTTTGCTCTCCTCTTTTTCTAATGAATTGCTTAAGTGGGAACTTTTGGCTTCTGTCCAATTGGGTATCCTTAGGTTTGAGGTGAAGTCCTCAAGGTCCTATGAGGTGTCTTTTACCAAATGGAGGAGAGAAACTGGGCTTTTTTCCTTTTTTAAGAGACAGAGGATCATTTGTTCACTCTGTCAACAGGGGGCACATTCCTACACTCTAATAGTTTAGAAACATGGTTCCTGCAAGGCCGGTGAAAGATAAGAGGAGGAGTAACACAAGTGCAAGATCCTTGATTGTGAAAAATAAGCTGTTTGTCAGCTTCCCACTCATGTTGTTGTCATAAGAACATGTTCTTTTCTACTGTCACCATGCCCTCCTAGTAGAGGAGGAAAACATACTTATCTGTGGAGACCTTTTGGATAATAATCAATTCCTCCATAACCTTGGCAATCTAAGGACAATATACAATTTCAGGTAAAAGCAATTGCCAAGGCCTCTGCTGATATATTCTGTATTTCATTTTTATTTCAAGAGAAAAGAAAGGAGGAGGTGGAATGTAAGTAGAGAAAATAACACCAAAAATCAAAAACACTTACTTAAAGCAGGGCAAGACAAAGTAGTCTCTATTTCAAGTCAGACTAGCATTTTTACCAGCAGGTAATAAAGTACACTCCACTTGCAATTGACAAGTTCTTGGGTTCATCACTTGGTTTTATTTCCCCATTTTTTATGTAAGTACCCACTTCACAGAGTTTTCAGCTTGCTTTGTTAAGACAGCCAAAAAATGACTGAGAAAATATTGACAATCCCACCATCCTCTCACAAATGATACATAATACTCATATATTCAGAGGTCTGAGCTTTACTTTTACACAACTTGGAGCCATAACCATAATGAGGATCACACATTCCAAGGCTCCTCTTGATGAGGCTGGAGAAGTGTTGCAGGACAGGAAAAAAAGGCATATCAATCTCCTAATTTCTTATAGAAGCAGAAATTTTCTCTTCCAGTAGTTGTTCTTTATCTCCCCATATTTTCCTGTGTCTGGCCCCTCTTTTTGCCTATTCAGTCTCCCATTTTACCTCTGAGAACAAAGAAAGTACAGAGTATAGTGCAGGAAGAATGCTCTCAACACTTCTCTTACGGCAGTCTCTGTTAGCAACTCTCAGAAATCAGTCACACAGAAAGACAATCTCCCAGTTTTAAACTCTGGCACACTGAAAATATTTGAGAGTTATCAGGATTTCCAATGACATTTCTTCACATTTTTATACCTAGAAAATAAATCAACGGCTTAAACAGGCACAGAAGCACATCTTACTAATAGTTGGGAGTAAGTAGACCTGCTCCAAATCAGGAGAGCCTGAGCCAATTTTCCTCACTGCCTGGTGGCTTTCCTTTTAGCCTGTGTGGCTAAAAGCTGTGCAAAAGGGCAGATTCTCCTACTGCTTACCCATGACACCAGCACTTAGACTGACTGATCCACCAGAGAAATACACACACCTGTAGCAATGCCAGGCCTGGCCAGAGGAGAGCTCAGTTCTGTGCTACTGTTAGCCCCTCCATGGGATATTGTTTTTCTAGACTCCCTAGGGCTGGGTAGAGCTGTATCTGTGCATCTGTTCCTCTGTATTTGTGCAAATACAAATACATGTGTATAGCATGTATTTGTTCTCACCAAGACTGATCCTCTGTCTTTTCTGAGACTTCAGCCAATGGGCTGCTGTCATGTAAACATTATTAATTGCTCTTACCAAGGTCTGTCTTTAGAGCACCCTGGCCAAAACAGCAGCTATTTGTGTGTTTCATTAGGGACATTCAGATGGTCAAAGAAGACTGATCCTTTGATATGACAGCTACTTACCAGGAGAGCAAATATTTTATAGTAATAAATGCTATAGGAGACTATAGAATATTCCCACTGCCTACTCCTTAAGTGCACTTGCTCTGTTCCTGGAGGGTGGGCTTGTCAGAGGCCAAATCCCCAGCCTTCACACCCAGCGGTAACACAAGCAAGTAGCTATCTAGAAATAACAGCAGCAGAGGACAGTGGATGTCACATCATAGGCTTTCTTTAATTTGTGTCATGCATACAAACAGACTCAAAAAGGATCTAACAAAACCACAAGATATGATTTAAAAACACAGGATATTTTCTATTACACTGTCCTTGGCTGTGATTAATTTACCTCAGCTTCACACACCCAGGGACATCAGGGACATGATGCCCTGGACACTGTTCTGCTCTTTGTCATAACAGAAAATATTCTACAATGCCATCCCTGGTCTTGTAACATGGAGGAGAAAGTCAGCCTCTACCTTTTCCCTCTGACATATAACACTTCCTCTCCAACATGCAATTCAGAAAACATATTTTGGCGAAATGCTTCATGTCTTTTGACATCAGAAGATCTATCTCTAGAACAACATGGTTACTGTGGCTCACAGGAGTATTGCTAGGCTAAGTCGCTGAGAGAGTCTAGCAGTACAGAGGTGATTTATTATAAGTAACCATTTAAGTCCTCAAGGTATTGCAAATATTTTAAAGTCATACTTTAATGAAGATAATTAATTTTACTGTAGATTCTTCTCAGCATCAGGGAGAATTTTATTAGCATATTTTATGTTTTCCTATTTATAAAATTATAGTACTTTGCTTTAAATAAGGATATTTCTTTATTGTTTCCCTGCTGTGTCACACGCATATATCTTATGGGAATGGAAGGAAAACATGTTGGGCTTAATATAAAGCCAGTCTATTTTCTGGTAGAGATAAGTCATGGAAAAATGAGATAAATAAATAGCATTTAACAAACATTTCCGCTTCCCACAGATCCATTTTCTATTACTATCTGGCAATATTTTTTCTGTTGCTCTTCCTTGAAAGACTCTTTGATCTTTTTCCTTTTCAGTCCTCCATCCCTGAAAGATACAGAAAAGAAACAGCCTTAAACTCCCTTCAGGGTTAAGGCAGAAAAACATTACTATATTTAGACTATGTAGTCCAAGCAGTTTCCACTCTTAATGTTGACATCTGTAAGACAATGCTTAGTGATTTATACTGCCAAGATTTACAACACCACAATCCTCTTCTTTTAACCCAGCACTTAACAGTCTAGTAATTAATTTTCACCTAATACTGCCTGCTGTCTAAACCCACTTGTCAGCTCTGTTTGTCTCTATCTACTATATTATTCTAATTATTCTAATGTAATTGTTCAAGTGATAAAGTAACATTTTCTGAATTAGAGTCAGTAAGGGTGGTGGACTACAGTGTAAACAAAGCAGGTTTTAAAGGATTCCATGTTAATATGTCAGAATACAAAGCACCTTTAAAAGCAATTCCAGAGGTGTTGCTTCTTACCAAGGAAGCACAGACATTCCTGCCCGAGCAGCAATAACAGCCTTGACTCTGTCAGCAAAATGAACAGCATCTTCTTCTTCCTGAAAAAAAAAAATAGCATTAATTGCTTTACAATAGATATTTTCTCTGTGCCTCACTTAAAAAGACAGGTTTTGTCAGACAGCAGGCAGTAGGATTTATGCCTGACCCATGAGCCAAATGTAAGCAGTTCCAGCTGATCCTGGTTTGCCACTCTTTGGTGCCAAAAAGAACTACATGGGAGGCTCTCTGGTTTCTGGGACAGCCTCAAACAACACACAGCCTGAAGTCCCAGGTCTGGCCAGAGCAGGGGATGCATCCTAGATAAATCCAGCACTTGGATTGTAGTGTTGCTTCCTAGCCTCTGTCCATTAAGTTATCAATAAGGATTCAGAGCACCTTGCGTAGTAATGCACATCTCCTTCCAGACAGCATTTCACAAGCACTTTCAAAACATACAAAAGTGTAAGAACCTCTTTGACCATCGGTGGCAGGTACCACACATTGCAGACAATTGCCCAGCTGGTTAACACATTAAAACCGTAGGTCATAATGGAATGCTTTGTGCTGTTCCAGAAGGCATCTCCAAAGCGAGGGTCATACTGGAAGACAAGAAGAATAAGTTGCCTTGGTTTAAATCACATAAATGGCTCTTTTTTTTCTTTTTTTGGCCACAAAGTCACAATTCAACTTATTAAATAACAGGCAAATCTAATCACACCTCCTGAAAGCATCAGTAAATTCAGAGTAAAGTTCCAACATTTATTACAAGTTTCTAACTGTTAGCATTTACAAGCAATGCATGATGTCAAACTGTAACAGACCTGCAAAACAACTGTAGCAAAAGATTTATTCAAAATGTAAAATCTTGTCATCTGCATATATGCTGACTACAAAGGTTTCCTTGACAATGCTCACACCAGTTTTAAGAACTTCCATAAGATCAGGTAACATTATAGTGCCAGAAAAAGTAACTAATATTTCCAGATCTAGAGTGATCTGGCTAAAGCTACTCAGAAAGACTTGAAAGTGCCAAGAAAACTGCCCTTATCCTCAGAGCACATAAGAGCCAGGACAGAAATTACACGTTTCCCATATTGCTTAAAACCACAAGTTTCTGTCTCTCAGGGCTTATTCAATACTTTATGCACACCAAACATATCCCTTTTCAAGGCTTACACACGGACAGCTTCCCTGATGTGAGAAGCACTTGCAACCAATCCTTCCATGTTCAGAAAAGTGCAGTTACAGTACCTTGATTGCTACTGGGTGGATGGTTCCTCCTACCTCAAAGCTCCCCTTCTTAAACATCATTACAGATGTGTTGTTAATGCAGGTGCCTGGTCAGAATTAAAATAGATGAAGGGCTTAATCCACTCTGAGAAAAGTATCAGGAAATTAATCCTAAACTTGTCTTAAGGAGACTTAGTTCTTAAAGAAGAAAGTAAGCTTTAGTTCTGGAACATAATCCCAGAGTCCTGTATGTCTTCATTCTCTTATATGCTAAAGCAAATAAACTGTCATAAAACTGTTGTAAAATACTAGAACCTGACCTTTAATATCTCATAAGAACTAATTAATTCTACAGACTAAAAACAACCACAGTTCTAAAGACTGGATATAATAAACTGCACTCAATGGCAAGAAGTGAGACGAGCAAAAGAATCAATACAGTTGATTCTTACCTTCTGGGAAAATTAAAATGGGTAACTTGGCCTTATCTGCAATGTGTTCTCTAAGTCTGTGGGGAGAAAACAAAATTTCAATGTATACTTCATATTGGTTTTGTTCAAGAGTCTAAACATTCATTACCTCTCACATAGGACAGGAAAAGCCCTTGCCCAATTGCCTTTCACCCAGTCAGTCGCCTCATCTGGAATATGTTCTGGTTTCAGGCCTTTATCTCAGTATCTCTTGAATTAAAAAAGTAGATTTTCTACAAAGCTCTATGAAGTTCCATTCTAACCAGAGAATGGTAGTTCTTGAAGCATGTGAAAATAACTTCCCAGATTCCAGCTATGAATGCAGTCAAACTTTTTTTTAGACTGAAAGATATTCCAAATTTCTAGTTTTCATGCTTTCTAGGTTCCCAACATCAGTTTTACATGTATTTAAGGATTCCCCACGTTTATTTGACAGGTCACTATCTTACTTAATTTGCTGCATCACTTAAAACCACAAATATCACCACTAAGCAGATTACTGACACTAAGATAGGTCATTTTCCAAGACAACTGTGTTTCCTACAACTCAAAAGCATGGAGCTTCTCTTTGGCCTGCATTAAAGGACAAAATCAAACCACCATACATTAAAAAAAAAACCAACCAAAAAAACCCAAAAAACCAAAACCCAAACCAAAACAAAGCAAAACAAAACCAAACCAAACAAAAAAAGACGATGACAAAAAATGTCAACACTGATGACAAATTACCACACCTGACCAGACAATGAAGCAAACACCTCACTACCTTACTTTTTCCTCACCAGGTGACGATCTTTCATTTCCGAGCGTTCAAACAAGACATGCTGAGAGGTTCTCATGCAGGATTTTTGAATAAGTCCCATAAGCCCTCCGTGTACCTGGCCAACCTGCAAGTCCAAAAGAAACTTGTTACAAAGCAAACACACACACACACACTTAAATGATTAAATTCCAAACACAGATGCAACCATTTCTAAGCTTCTTGACAAAATATAACAATCCCCTTGGTCATACATGTGCACACACCTGCTTACATCTAGTTTTTTGCAGTTCAGAATGTGAGTTTGAATGCTGTCAAATCCTAAATATTCTATGAGGAAGTTCAACCTCTTACCCAATGCTACATCTATGGACATCTCAACATTACTGATATTTACCAACTGTCTTGCTCATACCAAGGAATAGCATCCATCACTGGCCAGGATTAGGACATCCAATGGAGATGTGTGGTTGGCTACACAGATGCCTCCTTTCTGTGGTTTGTTTTCCCTGCAATGACAACCATAAAAGTAATTAATGTTTATTTTCCAGACTACAATCCGTCAGGTGGCAAGCACTGAAAAATATCTAAGTGTCTGAAGAGTAAGTACAACATCATCTACACACACCCTGCCAATGCACAGCAGGAAACAAAGGAGGGCATGTGAACATCCTGAGAGAGTCTGAATGATCCAAACAGCTTTTTGGATCAAGTTGTACCATCACCAAGTATCTAGGCAGTAATGGAATAAGAATCCTGCTCTGAAACTTGAGATGTTAAATGCTGCAAGAAACAAACTCCAGACTAATAAAGAGCAAGGTGGCAGCACTCACCTGTTATGGAAATGAACAAGGCCACTGAGACATCGGACACCTAAGGTGGCACATATCATCTGGACCTGGTTGCTCAGCCAGCCTTTAACTCTAAAAGAAATGAAGCCATAGATCCATTTCTAGTTCTATGGAGCCACACATGCAATGTAAACTCTCCAAGTTATCCCAAATTGCTGTTACTACAAAGATCATACTAAGGTTCACACTGCATGTCTGCTTTCAGATGCCATTGCCATAACTTCCTCTCACAACACTCTATAATTTTACAGGAGAGAAAAAGTCACCCCGTGATAGTCCACATCAATCCTCTGGACTTCAGCAGACTGTTCCAACTACTAGTTCAAATCCTTAAAGAAACACAGAAGAACTGAAAGAGCCCTCAGCAAATACCTACCTGCCATTTGGAAATTGTCCTACTACAGTAGTGGCCAACACCAGCAACAGGATGCTGAAAACAGACAAGCAGATGCTACAAAGTAAAACAATCTTAATTAAAGGGCAAGAAGCAAAACTCGAGGAGCAAGCAAGAAGGTTTTCTTACTTGGCTCTTTAATCCATTTCACAATGCTTCCTTCCAGCATTTAATAGCATCTAACTAGCAACAAACTACTTGCTAACCAGCACAAACCCCTTAATCCAGCTTTGCTGGATTTTAAAAGCAAAAGAATTACTAATAAAACATATGGAACATGAGAAATTTCTTTTTTTTTTAAGGGATATTTGAGTTTAGATGGCTTCTTGGAAAGAAGCCTTCCTCCACCAGTCAAGAGTATATTATTTCACACCTTCTGTAGAAAGTACCGTGAAATAGGATCCCAGCAAACCCTGTGTGGCTCACCGGAAAGGCAGCAGTAGGCAATACCGAATTAGGATGCCAGTGACCCACACAGCAGCCAGTTTCCAGCTGACATGATGCAGGTTGGCATTGGTTCTGCTGAGGAGATTCCAGGACAGCAGCTCCTCAGAGGAGAACCGTCGAGTGACTTCATCCTCCGCAACTGCCTCACAGCCCTTCTTGGAGAAGTACATGACATCAGCAAGGCTGAAACATCCTCGGCATCGGCTCACAACCTCCTTCTCCATGGGAGTCTCATCTCTTTGGATGATCCCTGCATGAGGAAATGAGCCTTCCTTCCACAAGGTGAAATGAACAACATGGATTCCAAAGAGAATATCAAGAAATACATATGATTTTTAGAAACAGCTCTCCTACTCAAGCATAATAATGTATTGCTATGCCTCATTTATGTACTGACAGTTAATTCCACAAGTTACTTCTCTAATCCTATGCCATATATTGCCCCTAAGTTGCTGAGAAAGAAGAAAAGGATTCTGATCAAGCCGCAAATAAAACCTTGAGCACAGCACCTACTTCATTATTGTTTACCAAATAGCCTAGGCACTCACACCTAGAAATGTCACATATACACTGCCAAGACTGCAGATCCCTCTGGTGCCTTGACTCAAATTCAGGCAGAGTTTGTATGATTGTTCTTGCTGATGTTGATCAGCTTTATTGTTTCCTAGCTGTAAAAAACACCTTCCTCTGCATTTTTTTCTTGGAACCTTCTGTCTCCCCCCATCCCTTCTCTGCTTAGAGTCACTTCCCTACCAAAAAACTTGAAAGTGCCTGGGTTTCTCCCCTCCCAGACACACAAAGCATTACACAGACACATTGTGCAGGAAGAATAACAACACATTCTTGCTCTGCTATTTGTAAAATCACAACCCACAGGACAGCAATGCAGCAAGTCTGCTGAGGTCACTCTGAGACCAGATGCTTTTCTGGCTGGTTACAGTGACTAAAATTCTGTTGGTTCATACCAGCTAACACTTGGCTTTTTTGCTTGTCTCCCCCACCTCTTTTTTTTTTTTTTCTTTTTGATGGGGTATATTGGATGACATTAAATATGCATTATAAAAATACATTAATGTATCTTGATCAACCTACCTCCCCCTGAACAGAATCACAAAGTTTTCCTCCATCTGCATTTCAGTGAAACCTTCAACTCCCAGGAAATCATCAGAACAGAAAATTATTAGCCGACAAACCAAGCAGCCTACATGACTAATCACTAAAAATAGCACTACAAGTAAAAAGATAACTATGAGAACTTAACTCTTTGATCAAAGAAGGAAGGAAAAGTAGTTGGGGAAAAAATTATTTGGATTTTATCCTCACATCTAGAAAAGAGTACAAATTCTATCTGTGATCCATGGGATGCTGTAACTCTTTTATTTCAGAGCTAGGATTTTTTGGGTGCTAGGAGTTACAAGAAGCAAAAGATAACTATGCAGAGCCATGTCAAGCACAAAGAACACTAATATATCCCAATCCAGTAAAGAGAGAGCTGATGGAGCCCAAAAGCAAAAAACACTTATGAAAACAGGGATGCTTCCCAAATGCTTATCAGCAATGTCTTTCTATATCCACACTTGTCTCTAATTCCTTTTATTTACAAAACTCAGAGATTAGATATTTTATAACATGCTTATGTAGGTTTATAGCTTCAATGGATATTTTCTCATCAAACTCCTTTCTAAGTAAGATTGTTAAATAGCTGCCTTTTTACATGATAAATAGTGCTGTGTCCCCTTCATCCAGAGATCTTACCAGTGGAGATTAAATTTTCAAGTGCCATCGCCTTCTGCTTTTTTACTCCCTCCTCAATCTGCAGGGTGGCCCACTGTTCCCAAAACAAGAAAAGTAGATGTTGATGGTTTTCATTTCATCATTTCCAGACATTGTGCAATTACCTCAGGTGAATTGTCTGAGCCTCTTTTACCCCTACCAGGTCTAGGATTTTCATTTTTCAAATTCAGCCTGAAGGGTGCCCTGCAGACCTCCTGTTTCATTTGTTATACAGACTACCTTCTGCCATTTCCAGGAAAAATTGTTTGGCTCAAACTTCTTTTCAGGACACAGGCAGTTGTTTTTGTTTTTTCTGGAGGTCCAACAAATTACTGAGCTACCTATGAGACCCTATAAGATCCAATGTACCCAAAACTCTATCTTCTTTAGTTAGGTTCAGGCAATAAGATTATACAAAATAATATCACTGACATTAGAGGTATGCCAGAAAAATAGAACTGAACATTTGATTTTAAAGAATAAAAGAGATTAATGCATTTTGAGGGCATTCAAATGGTTTCTGTTGATAGAAAACAGAGCTGGCAACATTGTGTATCAATAGTATTTCAGAAGGTAGCAACTGTGGTAATGAGCTTTCACCCTTCCCTGTATTAATTTTTTTGGGCTAAACCATTTCTTCTCCTTGCATAGAGCATCATAAAACTCTCCATTAGCAAAATCAAATATAAAATCATGCCTGATTTTTGAAGTTTTCCTAGTTTTGAATGCTTTCATCATACATACACAGACACATAAATAATAGCTCCCATGAGTACTAAAATCTGGCTATATTTCTGTCAAGGTACCTGCCCTAACAAAGGGCATAGGAGGCTTGAGTGTAGGCTTTGCTCATTATTAAAGGCTCAGTAACCCACTCAGGTTATGCCTTCACCTGCTATTGAGGGTTCCCATCTACAATAGATAAGGATTGATCTGTTTCATATAAACTCTTGCTAAACAGTGTATTTCCCTCTAGCTATGTGCAGCCACACAAGTCACCACAAGGCTGATCTCAGTCTTCACTACATTACAACATGTCTCATGTGCAAACATCAACCAGCTTTTTGCCACCCTTAAGTTTTGCATGCTCTTTCTGTAGCTATCAAAGTTAAGTCAGTAACAAAATCAAAATGGAGACACTTTGCCTTGACATAACTAGGTTATTTTAGTTACCCGTAGCTGACCTTTTTTTTTTTTTTACCAGCTATCATAAAAGAAAAGAAAAAAGTGAAGGCAGAATAGGCTTTAATGTAGTATTTTAAACTCCATACAAACCTTCTTTAGTAACACCATAAAGCAAACCACCTCCCCAAAAAAGAAATTAAAAAACCTGCACCACAGAGCATCATCTTGTCTATACTTCCCAATTATTCTCCTGAAAAGGTCAACAGGTACATCATCTCTCAATTTTTTGCAACACAAGGAGAGTCATTCAGAATGGTGGAGCCAGGTGGAACCAGGGGATATCATGAAAACAGCAGCCCACACACTGAGAAATGAAAGAACATGCAGAACAGGTACAGGAATGTTGCAAAAGAGAGTAAGGCAGACATGGCAAATTTAACCTCTTTACAAAATACTGCTGGTCCTCATCTCTTCCCCAACATCCTTTAGGATACTTGCATGGCATTAGGGAAGAAAAAATATAAAACACAAAATATTTGAGACTGACAAATAAAGCCTTCTGCCTTAGTCTCTGCTTTCCCATTTCCTGTCTTCCACCCTTATCTTGCCTATCATTGTCCTCCTACATAAAAAGCACCTGTCAGCTGGCCAGGGCTGCCAGAAATGAGCTTGCTCATACTGTCTTGAAGGATCTGGAATACCTCCAGGAGGCTGGCTTTTGGTGCCCAGACAGAAAAGGGTGACAGTCGCTGACCAAGCTGGCTCCAAAAATACATGTTAACTAATCTAAATGAGCAAGACAAGTCAAAACCCACAAAAATTTATAAAGTTTACTAGTAAATTATAAAATCTTGCCTCCTAGCACAGAGAAAGAATGAGGCAAAAGTGGCAGACTTAAACTAAATAGTCAAGGCTACAAAGGCAGCGTCCCAGAAAGACGAAGAAGAGCTTTCAAAGGCTGAACAGTTACACAGGGCTCATTAGCTTGGGAAAGAGCTGGCTGAGACAGGCATCTACAAAGTCTGGACTGGCACGGAGCAGTTGCTTTAAGGAGCAGTTATCCATTTTCTCTTCTACTACAAGAACTGAGATTTACCATGGGAAAGTACTTTGGGCAGAGTATGTGAGCAAGAAAAAAGGCAATATATTTCCACAAGCCATCATGGGACATGAAATTCTCCTAACTCATGGCTTGGCATGGGAGACTGAAGAACAAGCAGCAAGGAGGGAATACAGCTGTAGAGTCACCCAGGCCTTAGGCTTTCAGTCCGGCCATTGAATTGACACCTGTCAAAGCCATCTGTCTGGGTCAAACTCTGGACTGACTAACTCTGCAGTGGCTACTGTGCTGTACTGCCTTTGGTAGCATCTGTATGTAGAATTTGTTTTCCAAAATGAAGTAAGGCTTTGTGATCACCTTTGTATTGCACAGTATTGAGACAGAGCTGTCACGCTGGTCTCTGTTGCAAAACAGTAATGAAAGGATGTTTTAAATACCTTACAAAAAACCCCACAGATGTTGCAACTAACACAGAATTTAAGTATTAAATGTAGCAACTTCATTCCTACACCTGCTGACTGAATGATAACTCAGATGTTGTGCTTTCCCTCACTCCCTTTTCTGAAGTGATGAGGATACCAGAAGTCCAAACACCCAATGGTTGATCCCACCTGAAGTACTGAATACTTGACTGCTTAACTCCAACAGTGCAACAGTCATTTGTTTGAGCTTCCTGTAATTACATTCTAAATAAAATGAGGGTGCTCAATACTGTTTTATGTTAATTACTGTCTTCACGGGACATGACATGAAAGACAATGTGGAATGTTCATTTCCTGAAATCTCATATCTTGCACGATTTTTCCTCCTTTTTTGCTTTTGTATTGAGTACAGCTCAATCCTCCATCTTTCCATACTAAGTAATAATTCAGTTTTGCCTCTCTTCCCATATTTTACTACCTCTTCTCCCATATTCTCACAAAAGGTTTTTCTAATCACTCATTACATGAACTTTTCTCAATCTTTTCCTCATGTGTGACAAAAGCTCAGGGGCAATTCCTCCATGTAAAGTCTTCCACTACAGTGTCAAAGAGAAGCTTGGTGGGTTTTCAGCATGAACTAAAATCACCATCTAAGATCAAGTACTTGTGACCTCTTCACTCAACAGTGGTTTCTGCCTGGCATTATTTCCCCTTGCCCATTACAAACATGAACACAGATCAAATAGTGCGAGTGTTACACTTACACTCAGTGTCTGAGATTATCTGACTGTCCACCCTCAGGCTGAGAAAAGGACTCACAAATCTCCTGGCTGCTCCATGGGGACTGATGAAATGGGTTGAGAAGGGGTTGTTTGGGATAAAAGCACTAATATAATTTGTTTGGGTTTTGGTGGAGAGGCCAGCTAAGGACAGCCATGTATTTAAAAGCACAGTAGTGCAATTTTTCACCAGCTGAAGCATCAGCAACATCCACCGTACTCCAGTAGGAGCTCACAGCATATGAACTACCTCCATGTACAAGTGAGCTCTCAATGCAAAAACTACTCTTCTTGGAAAACTTTTAGATGGCTGATTTCTTTTTCTCTAGAAGCAGCAATGCTCCAATTTCAGGCAGAAGTTCAGATCTTGTAGACCTTCAGAACATTTCTTGGCAAATAGAGCTACAGCTGTTACCTGTGTTTCTTTGACTCTTCACAGGGCTCTGAGTGCATGGCATAGATTTCATCTTAGCAAATGCATCTTCTTTTGCAAACACTAGAGTAACATTCCTGGAACAGCTTTGCTATATATCCTCATTTCCAGCAAACCCCAGGATGGACAAAGCTCAGAGAAAAGACATTATTTACAAATAAAACTTTACAAGCATATGTGAAAGAATAACCCTAATGACACCCAAACCACGTTCACCTTTATAATTTCTATAAATACTTGAAGGATAATTTAAGGGTAATAATAAGAAGAATTATGGGATAATATATATGCAATTGAGAAATTACTGTATTGGAGGTCTTTTGCTATTATATTATCCATATGTCCTAAAAAAAAACAAAACCAAAACCCAACAAAATCCAAACAAAAACCCAAACACAAAAAGCACCTGCAAACAAAAACAGTCACCCCAAATTTTCAAACCTTGAATCTTGCTTTTATAAAATGATTTATTTTCTTTCTAAAATAACAAGTATCTAGATTCCTTGATGGAAAAGCACCAGAAGGTAAAAATTATTTCCATGCATGATTACATTTTTCCCATTTATTCCAATCACCACTCATAGTGCTATAACACTTCAGTGAAGTCAACAAATCAAAGTGACTTATCTCATCATATGCCACCATTACTCATTGCTTAGTAATAGATCTGAAAATTTGAGTTTTATTCTGAAACAACTTTTTTGCTCCCAACAAATTAAGTAAGTTCTAAAGATAAAATTTTGTTTTCAAAGAAAATGTAATTTTTTTTTTTTACTTTGAAGTCCTTGATTTCAGTCTCCACTCTTCTATTTTTCTCACGTTGCCAAACATGGAGGAAAATAAAACATACTTTTCCTCTGCTCAGCTGTAAGAAACAGATATAAAGAAACTCCTCAGGCGAGAAGGTTTCTATTAATTTTGCTGGTCTACATAACAGACTAAGTCAAACGCAACAAAATGGAGTGACCAGCCATAGTGCTCAAGGTTGGATTTTTGCTGCAGCATCACCCAGTTCTTTGGCACTCCCTCGAGCAGTTATATTCCTGCAATATAGACAGCAGTGTGCCATTACATGACTAAGCATCTTCAGCATTTCCAGCTCAGCTCTCTGGGAAGGCATCCTGTTGCACCATTCCTGAGGACATCAGGAACCACAGATGGTCTCTGTGCATTATCTCATTAGCAATATTGCATGAACACAACACCACAGCTAGAAACCAGCCAACACCTCTCCAGGGTTTCAATGTCAGGTTTTTCATATCTCAAACAAACCTGCCTTAAGGCTGACTTATCCCAAGCTGCAATCTTAGCCGTATTCTGGTGAAAAAGCCCCAGGACTTCAAGAATAGGCTCAGCAGTTCCATGCACAAGCCTTAACCCAGAGTTTTCCAGTCCTATCCTTTCTTTCTAAGAGCCAAGTGGGCCACATTACAAGCAAAGGGGACCTAACACCCCCTCCATTCTTTCTCCCTCCCATTTTCCACCAAGATAGCTCTTAACTACTTTTGTGGCACAATGAGAAGAATTTGACAATACTTCAAAGAAAACCACTGGAATTAATTGTAAGATGAAAACAGCAGAAACTCCTTTTTTTGCCCACAGGACAATTAGGGAACAACTTTGAAGAAAAGAACAAAATGAGCCAGCCTAAATAGCAGCGCATGGAGTTGTGCTGTTCCTGTTATTAGCTGCTGTGGCAACAGGGAACGAGACACAAAAGGCTATAGCTGATCACATAACAATTAACTTATTTATTTTTCAGTACATTGATCCTCCACATTGTGAGCACTGAATTATTACTAATAACCTGTTACAAAAACTGTGGAGAGAAAAATACTTCAAGTGCTTTACCAAAGAGAAGTATCTTCCTACATTAAACACACACTGAGTGGGGCAAACATGTCTCTGAGTTGGGAAATGCACAGGGAAAAAAGAAACCCAGAAATTATTTTGATGCCCACCAACTGCAGCAGCAAAGTTGTCTAAAGACAGGTTTGATATTAGAGTAGCTCTTAATTCGGGATTTAATTAGCATACCACTGTCTGATTAAAAAATATTTCACATATAAAGGTCAATATTACATACAGCCACCACAGGCAGTCATTGCCCACTGACATCAGTATCTGAAAAAAATAACTAACCCCTAAATTTTGCAGTCATCTGCACTGTGCTAAATGATGTTCATACAGCTGAAAACAGACACTGCTCAAGAGCTCCTGATCAGTATTAAAACAAACAAACAACCCCTCCAAACAACAGCAAACAAAAGAGAACATAAGAAAGATAAAAGACAGAACTGGCAAGGTAAGATGGTCATGATATTAACTGTGTCACACTGTTACAGACATGTTCTACTGCAAAATTACTGCAGATTACTCCAAGGGCTTAATAATAATAGCAAAAATAATAGTAACATGTTTTCTGCCACAAGTAGAAAGTATATTCACAGAAAACAGGTTTATGCCAGAAGCACAAAGTCAATCTACTGGAAAATGGAAATGTTTACTGTTCAATATGATGAATTCACAGCACCTACTTCTGGCTAATAATGGATATGAAACACCAAAGTTGAAAAACTCAGTGGGATTCTGGCTTACAAAAAGCCCCAGAAACCCTTTATTGATAGAAGCAGGATCAGAATCTTAGCCATTATCTGTTTATCTCTAGAAAAATTCCACTTTAAGAAGGTTGCACACAGATTCCTTTAAGTCTTGCACAGCAGAACTTGTAACTGCTGGATCCCCCAGATTTATAACTGAGTGAAGCAAACACACAGAATCAGTGTTCTTACATGGAATATTAATTCCATGCAATTAAAACAATCCAAACAAAACCACTGAAACTTCCATACACCTAAAATACATGTTTTTATTACTTACCAACTCCACAAACTAATAGATCTTTTTCTTTACACTTGACTTGTCACAAGTATTCTACTTGCATGAAGCATTCTATCAAGCATGAACTAGAAGAAAATACTATGGAATCTGTACTTTAACCCCAAAAAAACCTCAAACCAGAAGCAATGATAAGCCAGCACATAACCAGATACCATTAAAGATACCCCTCAAAAGATTATGATATAAAATAAAGCTGCAAATAACACATGCAAGTTAATGGATTTTGTTCTCTTCTGAGTTTTATGGCATTTGATATAAATGCCATAAAAGTCAGAAGAAAAGGTATGTGTTTGCTACAGGACATGCTTAATAAAAAATAAAAATTTTATTTTTATTTTTATTAAACATGTCCTGTAGCAAACATACACCTTTTGAACTCACATCTCAACTTACCTCTAACATTTTAATTACAATTTTCACATAGCAATGACAAATCCCCAGTGACACTCGAAATATCGAAGGCAACAAAACGAATGCCACAAACAAAAAAATCCAGACAGACAAAATCTTGCCTTCTGCAAGGCCATGACCTTCTCTATTTTCTTCCATGTTTGCCCCTCCAAAATGACAATCAGCTGCCTTTCTGAGAATATATGCTCATCTGTAGTGGAGAATCTAGCAAGCTTCAAGAGACAGAGGCAAAGAAAAATGACACATTCTAAGAGCCAAAGCTGTCTCTAGGAGAAGGCTGTTGCTCACTGAAGACTGACACTACTGATACTCTCAATGATAAAAGTAATTTCTACCCTTTGTCCCGCCCTAACTCCACCCACTTCCTTGTAATTGATAAGCGTTTGCTCACCAGGGGAGAAGAAAGAAAAAAACATGATAAGTAATGATATATGTTAGATAATTAGATGCTGCCAATAAGGAACCTTGTCAATGTGACATCTGGTTTTCACAGGGTGTCCTGCCAATAAATTACAATACAGAACTAGGTGGGTGTGTTTTTCAGACTGCCTAAAATCTTCTCTTATTAATACACATGAAGCATTTCTCCAACTGATGTTTGCACAAATCTGTGACTTATTCACTCAGATTTTCTATTTCATGGTGAGATAACTGGCTTGTTTTGGTATTTGAACAAATTAATTAAAGAGAAGCTTGACATGCAAGTCGGGCTTTTTCTATTTTATTTGTTTTTTTAATAACACATTTGAAATGAAGATGCAAGTTTCAGCAGGCAAGGACTGACAAGACAATAAACCTGCTCCCTCCACTCTATCAGAAATTCACCAAAAAAGCCTGTATTACAGGGTTACAAAATACACTGTGGTGAAGTAACAAGTCATCTATCTTTGCACATATTCAACTACAGAATTGAAATGCAATAGACAATCCTGTTTCTCCTTCTAGCCTATCAAATTTCAATAATTTAATTCAGTATTTTTTAGAAATACCCAGCTCAACCACTTACAGCCACCCTTCTCTTGCCTTTTTGCATGCATTACAGATGATATAAAGGTGAATAACTCTAGAACCTCAGGGGAGCCTACCAGCTTCTTGTTTATAATCTTCCCACAGAATAAATGAACCAGCCTTGGTGGAAAGAGCATTTAGGGCACAACTTCCAAGACAGTGACGTGCTGGTCCACAAAAGATTTTCCCTTTGCCAATACATTGGTGTGTTTGTCTGAAGCCGGGGCTGTCCTTTTAAAATATTCCCATCCCCAAGCACCGTTGCTTGGTTTGTGTTGTGAAGCAGCTAGATTCCTTACAAATGGAAGCAGATGCAAAGATCCTGTGTAAAATGTGCATCCAACACTGTCCAGGCAGTAAGAGAAGCACAGATGTCAGAGGGGGCTGCACCACCTCTAATTTACACCACACACCCAGGCACCAGACTCCTGACACTCACAAGCCCATGTGAATCCATGGCACACTTCTTGTACCACATAGTGAGTCAAGTGGCTTCTGTACCTCCAGATTTGCTGCTGCATGACATCCCTCAGGTCTTTCAAATCACATTGCAATCTTTTCCAGCAATATAACTTCTCTTTTGCATCTTTTAATTACTTAGCTTCCTCACCTTTCTCTCCCCTTGCTGGCCGCCTTCTGAGCCTTCTGTATCCTCTACAAAACCTCACTGGTTTGTTTTTTAAGTGTTTCTGCCTTCCCAATGCTCTTTCTCCCAGTGACAACGTTAAGCCCCTCACTCTCCACCCTGCTGCTGTCAGGTACACCATTAACCACTATTTCTTACCTGCCCTGCCAAAAGGCTTCTCTAGGAACAAAGCTCCACTGTAAAACAGCTTTGGTCACCCATTTCTCTTTAGCTACTATTCTATATTCTCCTTTCTGGTCTCTTCCTCAAGTGGCTTGCCCACCTCACACACATTCCCTAGCGGGGCCTGTGGAGAGCTGGAGGAGGGCGCTGATCCACCTGGCAGCACTTGAGAACAGCTGCCATCAGCCTCGGCACAGGGGATCGGTATGCACAGAGCCTAGGTGCTAAAAACCCCGTGGGCGGGAGGGTGGAGGTAATTCCTGGGACCTGATTTGAAGCAGGAAAGGGGGGCAAAATGAAGTATTGCAAGGAACAGGAACATGTGGCGACTCACTTGGTGGGATGCTTCAGCAGCAAGTTTAGGCACACACAAGACAGATAATTTTTTAAAAGCATAGAGGGAAAGACAGACTTGCCTAGCCTGGGTGGGAGGAAGAAATTTCCTCTCCTGGATAAGGTAGAGTTGTTTTTCATTCTGTGAAACCATATAAAGAAAGAACTGAAGAATTTCTATTTGCCTCTCTATTGAGGTGCTCAAACCATCCAGCCCAAAGGTACTACAAGATCCATATGGCTGAGGCTCTTCTTAAAATTACTTTTTGCTTTATCCACTTTGTACCTCCTGAAATAATAAAAACCATTTTGATGTTCTTACTACTCTGTTACCATTGATGTCATATGGTTTAGAGAGAAAAAGAAGCAAACACAAATAAAAAACCTGCACCTCAACCACCCAAATTGGGAATGACACCCAAATCAAGGAGATTCTGCATGTCTACGTAGTAACAGTATGGAATAAAAATTGTAATTCAATGGAAAATTGTCCCAAAACCCACTACAGAATAAATCTGAGTACCAGAACTTGTCCAATCATGACCAAGGAGTTTAATTTTGTAAAATTTCTGCCAAAAATGGCTGCTGAAGCTTCTAAAGCATCCTGCTGCTCTTGAGACCATAAGCATAAAAACAACTGAGACATGATGGTCTAAGCATTGCATGTCTTATTCCAAAACACTTAAGACTGCTATAGAAGTGAATATGGATTTGAATTTTATCTCTGCCCTGAATGAAGTTAATGAACTTGCTCATGATGTGAAGAAGAAAGGAAATTCTTTATTTCTTCAGGCAATTCATAACATAGTTTCCTATTTTTGGTCAGAAATTTGGCATAGCTTTTTGTACCCTATCACAGTAATTGATGATGATGATATTGTTTATATTATTATTGTTGTTGTTGTTGATATTAATTCAGAAGAGCCATGGAATGTCATTTTTATCAAATTCCAATGCGAATAGATATGCATCCAACACTAAGCTGAATAACCACATTTGTAATGTGGCTACATAAATTTCCCCAGCAAAATAATTTCTTTCAGAATTAGTTCTGCCATCCACTGACTAAACAGAGATTCTGCATGTCATTCTTCTGCCCTTTTTATCCCTCTTACCAAGAGCTAGCCTGCTGCAATCACATCAGTTTAGAAGCTGTGACAGAGGCTTTATCCAGAAGAGGGAAAGTATTGCAAATAATTAAATAAACATGCAGCAACAGAATGTAGCACTGATTTGTAAGGTCCAGTAAATAACAGGTGATGAATTTATACCAAATAATCACAAGCACTGTTTTATGATGAAGTACTCCATATGTTAGGAAAAGCCACCAGAAAACATGCAAAACTCTCTGTCCATTGGGAAGAATGGAACCCAACTTACAAGAAAGTAATGTGGGTGACACAGGAAGAATCCAAGAGCAAACCTCCCTTTAATTTAATGAATCTCAAATTGACACCCACAAGCATAACAAATTCACTTGAAACAATTTCTGGTCTCCTAGGGAAATGACAAGGATATGGAATGGGCATCAGCTGACTACTCCAGATTCTAGATCCCTTGAGGTCATCCTACTAATTTCATATTGCAAAACATTGCCTATTGCCTAACTGCCAATTGTTGGACGGAACTGGAATTATGACCCATTTATTTTTCCAGTGCAAGAAGAAGCAAACACAGCACTGACCTGTGTCTATTTGTAGTGCCTCAAATGGAAGGCTTAAATCAGGTACAGACAGCCCTTTCCTGCAAAGCAGCCAGCTTTTAAGCAGGTTCAAATATACTGTGAACAGATTAAAAACTGCAGTGGGAAGTGATAGCTTTCAAGGAGTGCTACTATGATTTTGCCTTCCCTCTGATACACAAGGGGAACATAGCCTGGAAATAACACTTGCCATGGTCTTCAAAAAGAAGGAATCACATAGTCACATAAATTTTGGCAACCACTCTTTCCACTTCCTTCCTGTCCGACACTAACCATTGCAGTGACTCCAAAGGGATGTCAGGGGAGAGTTTTCAGCTTGCCTTTCTTGTAATGCCTTTCTTATCAGACCAGCCAAACATCACATGTCCCCAGCAGATACTGCTCCAAAGCAGCACTGGCACATTAGCTCCAGCCAGGTGCTGCTTCAGATGCTGAAGTAACACACCCCCTAAAGATTAACAAAGAGGTATTTGTACCTGAGGCAAGTGACAATGATCATGACAGTCAATCAAGGTCAACCTTCTATCACTTGATCCTTTTTTTTAAGAAATATGCAGGGTATAATTTTTACCGTTTGGAGAAGCAACATTGTCCAAAGCTGCTTGCAGCCAGTATACAGAAGTACATCCTGACATTGCCATTAGGCATGGAAAGATGGCATTATTGCTAAAATTATTCTTCTGACACCAGTTGTAGGACTCCCTGGTATTTCTCTGTGTGTTTTGCCATGCTACAAAGCAGACTGATCTATTTAGAAAAGCCTTGTAAGCCGATGACACAGAGTCAGACAGCAAACCGGGGCTGATTTACCAGCATCACTTAACATCCAAGGACACCAGGATCATGTTTTTCAGGATAAGAAAGTGTTCAAACAGGACTGATCAGAACATTCTACACCCCATTAATTCTGCTGAGTGTACTCAGAATGAAAGCTACTAAGAACACCTCTTTTTTCAACTGAACTTTAACCAGCTATAACAACAACAAAAAGCCTTTATTAGTTTTGCTTATGTCTTCTCAATGTTTCAACCCCACATTCACTCCTTACCTGATTGCTACTCAAGGGTGAAATAATCTCTGGTAGTTTTGTTTTGATATTTATCATGACTGAAGTTCATGCTTTACATGTGGAAAATTCTCCAAAAGGCCAGAATAACCTTAGAGGTAACTATTGCATAGCAAGCAGTGTCAGGTGCAATATTTATTAATGGAAAACACACTGTCTTCATGCACTGAAGTGAAAATATGTGCCCTTCTGCATTCTCACTCTGAGCTATGTCTGCTACTCTCTAGGTCTCTGTAGATTCCATCTATGCCACTAAACAGGAGCGTGTTTATATCTGACCACAGTAATGCTAGTTATGCTTTACCTTAGGCCATCAACAGATTAATGATGAAAACACTGAAGAAGTATCTTTAGGTACTGTATCACTCACACTAGGATGACTGAAACAAATTTAGCTCTGACTACAGAAGCATTATTGTTTCCATACAAGATAAATTCAACAATTACAGAAAGTAATTGTATCCTGTGGCTTACAACAGGCTTGAGTCTTTGCATCTCAAAACAGGGAAATCCACTACTGTTCTGATTACATTTATATGCCTCAGCAATGTATAAATACCCATAGATGTGTAGGCGCTGCATGGCTGTCAATACCTACCTCAGGTATTGTCCATATTAATCTTGTATGTGGTTTGTGTTTAATTGACACTGAATGCAATAAATTAATTTGTCAATGCCTAAAACTAATTGCACTGATTAAATGCATACAACTTTCTCCCAGCTCTGGCTTAGGAGTGAGAGCAAGCACAGCACGGCGTCCTTTGGGAGAATTCCTGAACTGAGTGAGTATTTTGTGTTCACTTTCAACGTTTTCTCCCCAAACAGCGATAGAAGTTTTTTGTAACATCTGTTTTTGTTGCCTCGACCACAGCAACATGGGCTATAATGGAATCTTTTGTTGTAATATATCCCTTTAGATGTGTTGTACTTGTTACCCATTTGTTCAATACCACATGGTCTGCATTGCAAGAAATGCATGCTAGCTCCTCCCCATCAACTTTGCCCATCATTCTGTACTATCTACATCCCCTAATTCAAAGATCTAGATCATTTATGACTGTGCTGAGAAATGAATGTCTTACCTCGTCCTTCTCTCTTCTGTAACAATAGTTAAGAATCATAACAGTTTTCCCTTCTAAACACTAGCATCATTCACGTATATTTCAAATAATATTAAAGAATTTTATTTAAATATAAGTATGCCAAAATTCCTTCTAAATCTTGCAAAAAAAATTAAGGCAAAAGAAACTGACTGAAAAAATTAATTTTATAGGCAACAGAAAAAAATATGTGTGAGACCTAAAAAGCATGGAAATACCTCTTGAGAGACCACAGGTCCATACATCCTATTTCAAGAGTCAGGAAATTAACATCTAAGGCTAAGATTGTGTTTACCTATAGTCCTGATGAGTGATGAAATCAAACACTTGCTCTCCTGAAGTATAGGAGTAAAACCCCTGCAACCTTTAGATCAGACCTCTGATCACATTTCAAAGAATGTTGTCACTTGTAACGCTCTCTTCCTGAAATTGTTTTCTAGGACTTTCTGCTGGCTGATATGTCGGGAACACCTGCTATAATGGGGGAAAAAATGTTAGTACGAGTATTAAAATAAGTAAAATGTGACAACTCAAAATACAAAACATGCATTCTGCAAACAGTCTACATCTGAGGAAGAAGTGGTACAATTTGCTGCTCTCAGATCATTATTTAGCATTATCATTTTATTACCTCTTTATCACATTTTATTAGGTCATTAACTCAGAAGACTGTCCCCACATTCTCAAAGAGCGCAGTGCATAGACATACAGCTGTATGCCCTGTTTCGAAAGGCACAGCCTTGGTATTAAATCTCCCTTCTTGCTGACTAGGCTTGAAAGCAGGCAAAGATCAAACCTCAGCGAACATCTCTCGAGAACCTTTTCCCAACTCGGCATTTTGCAGCTGAGGAGCGATGCCGGGCCCGGCCGCGGGGCCGCGCTCCCTGCGGCTCGGAGCGAGGCGGCCGGGCCCGGGCCCGGCGCTGCCGCCGGCGGCCGCTGGGGGCTCCTGTACACCGCCCGCCCGCGGCCCGTCCCGCCATTGCTGGCATGGAAGGCGAGAGCACCTCGGCCCTGCTCTCGGGCTTCGTATTCGGCGCCCTCACCTTCCAGCACCTCAGCACCGACTCGGACACGGTGGGTGCCGAGGGAGGGCCGGTCCGGGTCGGTGGGAGAGGAGGGAGGGGCGGGCCGCCCTCGCCGCGCTGCCGCCGGGCCTCCCCCGCCCGGCCCTGCCGGGAGAGCGCCTGGCGGTCTTTTTGTGTGCGAGCGGCGGAGAAACGCGGGTGTTCCGTGCTCGAAAGGGGCGAGGGCCTGCTGCAGCGCCATGTCCGCCCCGTCTGGGGCCCAGCGCAGCGCTGGCCGGGCCGCCCGGCCCCAGCCCGGCGGGCAGCACCGCCCGGCCGCGGACTGCCCGGGAGCACCGCAAACCGACCGAGACACAGGACTGCCTCGCTGAAGATTCCTTCCTAACTGCGGGCCAGTACTGAAAAATGAGCCAGAACCCACTCTGTTAAAACTAAAAAATAAAAAAAGTTCGTTTTGACAGCATTTTTCCTCTCCTGAAGACAGCACTCACACTTGCTATTAAAGAAAATCATGATAGAATATGGTGAGTTGGAAGGGACCTACAAGGATCATGTAGTCCAACTTTTGGCCCCGCACAGGACACTCTAAGAATCCCACCACATGTCTGTGAGAGTGCTGTCCGAATGCTTCTGGAACTCTGCTAGGCTTTAGTGCTGCTCGTTTCCCTTGGGAGCCTGTTCCACTGTTCAAACACCACCTGGGGGAAAAGCCTTTTTCTGATATCCAACCTAAACCTTCCCCAGCTCAGCTTCATACCGTTCCCTCCGGTCCTGTCACCGCCAACAGAGGGAAGAAATCGGTGTCTGAAGCTCCAGGTCTCCTCTTGAGGCAGCTGTAGAATGCAATGAGGTCTCCCCCCACTCTCCTCCAGGCTGAACAGACTACATGACCTCAGCCACTCCTGCTCTGGCTTCCCCTCTGGACCCTCCACTGTCTTTGCAGCCCTCCCTTGGACAGGTTCTAATAGTTTTGTATTTTTCTTACATTGTGGCACCCAAAACTGCACACAGGACAGGGGGTGAGGCCACAAGAGCACCAAGAGCAAGAGTGTCTGTTCAATGCTACTGTTAATGTGGGGTTTTTTTCTCTCTTCCCCTCTAAAGGAAGGTTTTCTGCTTGGAGATGTGAAAGGTGAAGCCAAGAACAGCATCACAGACTCACAAATGGATGATGTTGAAGTTGTTTATACAATCGGTTAGTGTGTCCATATTTTTCATAGCCTGCTTGGTTTTGGGCAATAAATGACAGCTTTCAGTTTTGAGGGACAGCAGTCTACAGCAAGATCAAAGCTCCAAGATCCTACATGCTTGGCTGATATATAAAAAAAAAAACAATAAAAGCCCAAACCGAAAACACACGGAAAGGTTATTTTGTAACATTTTAACTACTAAAAAGATTACAATTTTACTGCAGAAAACACAGTAATTTAAAAGAAATAATAGTTCCTAGTTCCTTGGATGGCTACTCTTTGCCAAATATCTTGCAATATTAAACATAACTCAGGGTTTACACCCTTGTCTTGGCTACATCACAAACTGTCCTGGACAACTGTTGCCCTGGAAAAACTTTGTCTGTCAGTGGCATGAACTGTAATGTATAAGCATCTATTACCTCATTTGGAGCTTATAAAATTACATGTGTGAAGGCTGCAAGCTCTTTAATAATTTCACTAAGCAGATGCCATATGTATTTTTTGTTATCATCTTGATGTGATTGGTATTGATGTGCATTGAATAACTCAAGTGAAATTCTTCATACTACATATTTCTCCTTCACTCAGCAGGAGAAAAACACAAAGCACCCAGCTTGATTTTTCAGTTGACATAATAGAAAAGTATACAAAAAATACAGTTTATATAAGTGGGTCCCTATACTTTTGACAAATTTAATTAGAATATATTTTTAAAATATTTCCTTTCTTCACCTTATTTAATTTTATGTTAATGCATTCAATTTTAAGAAATTATGTACAATTACTTCTTGGTCCTTTGATGAGTTTCATGCTGATCATAGCATGCAGAAGAATATACATCTTGAGCTGATGAACCCAGAGTAATGTTACTTTCTCTTTCCAGACATACAGAAGCATATTCCATGCTACCAGTTGTTCAGGTAAGAATCTCAAGGAAACAGATAATTGAAAAGTTAAAATTAACCCTAACCTGAACTCTCCAAGTTACATTGTCTAAGAAAACCACCTAGCTGTAACTATAGTAGCCATATCAACCTCTTGGAATTACAGATGCAAAATGCCTTATGCTATTCCTATTTTGATTCTTTATATCCTTTTTTTTTAATGTTTGTCTATGCATATAGAAATAGAGATAAAGCATATTGCACCTTCTGGTGATCTATGATACCATATAAACTACAGAACAATGTTAACACACTGAAAAAAACAATTCCATACATTCTAACCCCTCACCCTTAATAGTATTAATTTTTTAAATTATTATGTTAAAGTGAGATGATTCTCAGCATGCTAAAGTTATTTTTCCAGTCAAATTTCTTCCCCTCTAATTGTCCAAATTTTCTTATAGCTTTTATAATTCTGCAGGAGAACTGAACGAACTTGCCCTGAAGAAAATACTATCAGGCTGTAAGAAGGTATTTTATTCTTAAATCTAAACCATACTGAGGAGCTCACTCAAATTTTGGAGGCTGTTCTGGATACCTCTTGCATCAAGGTTTTTTCTTTTCTCATTTTAAACCTTTTATAGTCCCTCATGCTGCTGGTGAAGGCAGCTACATCCTTTTCCTCCATTAAAAAAACAGTTTAGCTTGTCTTTGACTAGGATTTGCCTATGTATGTGTCACAACTTTATTTTGAATTATTAATTTCTCAAGTGAACACTTCAAGGATCCCAAAGGAATTGCACCAATTTCCACCTTAAGATCAGTTGAGGTCAGCTCACGAGTGGTTAAGGACCACTACATCAGAAAGAACTAAACTTTTTTCCACAGAACAGTTTTACAAGGGGAAAGTAGAAGATGAAAAGAAACATCAAACAGAAGAAAGCTTGCAGTTTCAGCCTGAACTTAGGCTATGAAACAGACAAATTCAACACGTGGTTTTGAAGGAAAGAAGATGGGAAATAGGCTTAGAAGTTTTAAAGGTTTCAAGTTAACTAATTGCTTGACTATGCACCTACTAGCAAACAATTCAGACATGACTTTGCACTGGATGAAACTTGCTTCAGTGACACACAGGGACATCATGATTCAACAGTAACTGTGAATTTTCTTCTGCCTGCAGAGCGTAATAGGATGGTACAAATTCAGACGTAACACAGACCAGACCATGACATTCCGGGAAAGAGTTCTTCATAAAAACCTGCAGTCACACCTATCAAATCAGGGGCTGGTATTCCTCCTTTTAACCTCTAGTGTGATGACAGAAAGTTGTTCTACTTACAGACTGGAACATGCTCTGCATCGGCCTCAGGAAGGGTAATGTCTACAGCATGTGCTAAAACTTGAAAGTTTCTCTACTTTGTTGCAATTGACTCAGTAACACTGTATATTTTACCTTTGAAACTTAAACTTTTAATAAGATTGTTCCTTATGTTGCCACAGCCCAGTTGAAAGTTTACCCTGGAATTCTATTCTGGGACTGCCCTTTTTATCTATGGTGCCAGCATCACCAAGCAGACACTCAGTTTATTTACACACATAAGCTACACCTGATCAAATTGCTTTGTGTACAGGACCTCAACCATACATGGTGTTCATCAAAATATTTAAATTGGTGTTAACTTTATCTTCAGAGAGATTCTGCTCGCAGGCTAGGCTTAGCAAATAAATGTTGAATTAGTGTGTGCTGTAGTCAGAAAGAGGGGGAATTATGGGCATTGCTCAGCTTCTGGTTGCTCTTGGAGTTTGCCTTTAGCCTTATCTGTACACGATGTAATACATTTAGCAAGGATTAACCATACTGTAACCCTTCCATTGGATCCTGAATGGCCAAAAATATTTAACTTTCAATGAAACATCTCTGGATATTAATAGATCATGTTTTCATACTTATGCATTTTAAGACTTTTCCAGAAAGTTCCTTTGGTGGTCACCAACCTGGGCATGGCAGAACAGCAAGGTTACAGAACAGTGTCTGGTTCCTGTGTATCCTCTGGTTTTGTGAGAGCCATGAGACAACACAGGTACAATACATGTTGTATTTACTGACACCTGTAGCTTCCCACTACCATAACTGCACTTTCTTTTTTATAAAAGCATTGAAGTGCTTTGCAAATGTTATAGCCATACTCTGTTTCACTTGACCTGTTTTCTACAATTACTTACCATTCCAGCACACTGGGAAATTAATTCAGTCACATATTTTGCCAGGAGCTGTCTGTCTCAACACAGGCATCTGGCATTTAAACACAAAATGCTTCTTTACTCACTAAAGCTCCTACTAAGTAAGCACTGGAATCACTAGCTTGCAATTGTGCTGTTCTACTCCTGGTCACAGGTCAGAATTCTTCCATGAAGATGGGTCCCTACAGGAGGTTCATAAGATAAATGAGATGTACGCCACCTTGCAGGAGGAACTGAAGGTAAGCCAGGCAGGCCTGCCTACCTTCATCAGTTCTACAAAACCAAGGCAGCCAAGGGCTACACATTTTGCACTGCATGAGAAAACAAAGCTAATCTGAAAGTTCTACTTACTGCACTGCACACTACATTCTCAAAGCTGATATTTAAGTTCCCATTTGAGTATAGTACAACGTTTAATCTTCAAGTCCATGAATAAATTCTCACAAGAGGATTATTTTGAAGGAGTACTCTGTAGTTTGTTAGATCTCCTTCGCCTAGATGGGATCAAACAAAACATCTTGCATCTGGTTCAACACAAGGTTTAAGTTATCTGACAGATCCACCTCTAAATCATTACTTACGCTTTTTACTACTCTATGTCCAACTTGACCATGAGTACCTTCAAGGATTGTTGAACAATTTTAAAGTCAGTTACTGTGAATACTGTTAATCTGATCAACATGCTCTTCTCCTTGCAGAAAATATGTATTACAGTAGAAGTCAGTGAACGATCTGTAGAGAAACTCTTAGCAGAGGTGAGCCAATTAAAAGAAGAAATAAAGAGGAAAAAGCAACAAAATTGTTCAGGTAAGTCAACCGAATGTGATGCAAGCCTTGCCCTTCCAAGTTGACTCAAGAGGCAGAAGCAGAAAACACCTCTGAACCTGAGGCAGCCAAAACAGCAGAGGTGCAAGAGGTTCTGCAACTCTGATTTTTTTTTTCCTCAGGAGAAGACAAAAACCACCCAGTGGAGCCAAAGGAGAATGTTCTCCTTTGCCAGGCACTACAAACATTTTTCCCCGATTCCAGATTTCAGACATGCATTGTTTCTTTCAAAGGCCAACAGATATCCAAGAACTGCTGTAACACAGACCATCATATTAATGTCATGGACAAACTGACTCTCATGGTAGAGGAAAGAGACTTCACTGAAGCTAGGCATCTAAACAAGCGTAAGGGCAGGGAGACCACATCAGTTTCAAAGTCATTCAAGAAGTCCAGATCATTGCAGCTTCACCAAGAACCACTTCAAGACCAAGAGGACAGTGACCAGGAAAGGAAGCTTACACTGAGTAGCACTGAAACAGATGAGGATGTGTTTGAAGAAAACAGAGATGCAAAGGAATACCCACACTCTCCTACTTTCTGATCTGTCAGATGACTTCATGCCAAAAGCTACTGCTGGTGTATTCCAGTGATGTATCAATCTCTAGCACTGCAAGGATGGATGTAACAGGGCATTTTTGCAGGTTGTATTTTGTTGTTTTTTTTTTCCCAGTGCACGAATCCTGTTCAGCATAAAGATAAATCCAAGATGACATTCCCTCACTTTGCCTTCCAGAGTTCCATGTGTCTTCTCTCTCTCAGGGTTCAAGGCCTATGCTACAGGATGCTACCAGTGAGATAAGTATGTCATAGGCTGCCTCAAAGTGATACAACTTCAAGCTGCTGGTGAAGAAACAGTGCTACCTACCCTCCTGATGCAGGGAGATTCAAATGAACACGTTACAGAATTAGCTGTCTACATGAACTGCCACCATTTAAATACATTATCCTCAGGAAACCAGTGCCTGTTTACTTCTCCACATCTTACAACCCAGCAAGGGGAAAAACAGCCACCTGAGCTTCAGCAAGACTGGTGAGCAGAGGAAGGGGTTCACAGAACTGCCAGTTTCTATTATTGCTTTAATCTTCCTTCAGACAATAACTTTCAGAGACTTCATGAAGAAAAAGAAAAGAATGACTGACATCCACCCTCAGTCAACCACACATTATGCTAGCAAGCAACATTTCCAGCAAACAAGTACATGAACATGAAAAAGTTTTATTGTTTATTTCTGTACAGTATATCACTCTGGATACTTGATGTTACATAGCTTGGGGTCTGTGAGAAATTGGGGGTTCTTAAACATAACTGGCATAAATCCTGTTAAAAAAAAAAGATGGAGGTGTTCTTAGTAGAAAAGTAGTCTTGAGTTAGAAAATTCAAAAGCAAAATCATACTTACCAAATACATGAGCTCTTTTAATGGCTTTTGTAATTTCCTTCTGCTTCTTGTTGCACAAGCCTAAAGAGATGAATTATTTTCAACACTAAGGAAGTCATTAGAGTGTGAAAGGCATGTTACTGACAATTCCCTCTAGCTTTGATTAAGTCCTTCTAGAAAAATGCGTGTGTGCTTTTACTGTTAAATACAAAATGCATGCAATTAAAGGATATTTTAATTCCTTGATGAAGGCTACTGAGTCAGGGAAATACTCTTAAAAATGTATGGAGTTCGGACTGGTTACTTTCAGAAAGACTGCTGATGCACAGTTACTTAGACTCACAAAAGTATTATTATTGCCCTGTATATTATTTAATTTAATACTTCACATACCTGTGATATGCCTGCCATAAATGGAGCCAGTATATGGAGAAACAAACTGGGAAAGAAGCTAGTTAAATCAAGAAAAATCAAAGTCAGTTTAAGAACTTTTTTTTGGAGCTTTATGTTACTACTTGTACTCTATTTTTCATTTTTTCATCTGTTTTTTTTTCAAAATTCAGTTCTACCTGAAGAAAAAAGTACAGCTTGGAGCTAGACAGTATTTTCTATGCTCCCATGCTTTGTGGCAGCTGAATTGTAACCAAGGACTCTACTTGTTAAACAGCAAAGCTGTCACACATAGTTAGTAGATTAAGCATCTTAGCATAACTACATTATTTGGCCCTTAACCTACACACATTCTTACTCATAAGTTTTAAACCCCTCCACATTTCAATGGATTTTATAATTATTTTTCTTAATCACTTTGGACTTACTATACACACATTTAAAAACAGTAAACCAGTTCCCTTCATCCAAGGACAGCAATTTTAAAACTCACCTGCACATTCTTATAGTCCACATTTATTCCACATAGGACACATCTCTTTGGAGGGTCTTTGTAGGGGTTCTCCATTTGTATGGGCTGAAATCAGAGAATGATTAACATCTGTAAGCTTCACATGAAAACAGAGAACATTTGTTACTTTTAATCCTTTAATCAATATTTGTCTTGAAACTAGAAGAGGTATTTAGTGTACCACTGAACTTTTCAATAACTTTATAAACTCACTTCTTGGTACCTCGCAACTTCAAAGACTTCTCACAAGTAAACAGCCTTTTATATTTTAGTAGCAACGACACCAGCGACTCTATTAAATCATTCACTAAGACAGTGCTTACACCTCTACTGAAGTCAAAATCTGCAGAAGCTGGTAAAAATGTAGTTCTGTCTGACAAGTCACAAGAAACTTTTTTTTAAAAATAATTTCATGGCACATGGCCTGAGGAAGTTTCCATGTGCTCCCACACATTTTAAAGAGAGAGATTTATAAATATTTCCCAAGGAGCCTCCTTGGGAGGTATTTCTGAATAGCCTCCTCAAGCTTCAGAATACACCCAGGACAAATTACAAGATATGAAAGGAGATTTTTCACTTTGCACAGAGTCACAGGACAGTCAGTGTTGGAAGGGACCTGCGGAGATCATCCAGTACAACCCCCTGCCAGGGCAGGGTCACCTGGAGCAAGTGACACAGGAACACGGCAAGGTGGGGTTGGAATGTCTCCATAGAGAGGGAGTCCGTGCCCTCAGTGGGCAGCCTGTTCCAGGGCTCTGCTGCCCTCAGTGTAGAGAAGTTTTCCCCCATGCTGAGGTGAAACTTCTTGTGGTTTTAGTTCATGGCCACTGGTCCTGGTCTTGTCGCCGGCTCCACGTCCGAGCTACTGAGCTATCAGGTTTAACAGGCTCTCATTAAGATACTGAAATACAGATTCGTGGGGCCTGAACTCCCAGCGCCTGCTGACCTCCCCTGCGCTGCGCTCCCCACAATGCACTCGGGCTCTGATAAGCCCCGAGCTACACAGCGACCAGAGCAAAGCGTTCCCAGCACCGCTGGTGTCTTGCGGAGGGGAAGCAGCGGGACAGCAGGGCGGGACAGGTCGGGGAAGCCTCACCTGGTCCGAGCGCTCAGGCTGCCCTTCATGCTGCAGGCGGCGCGGCTGCGCCCACAGCTCCGCTGCAAGGGAGAGCGACAAGGTTAGCGACGGCACGGCGCGACAGCCCGCACACGCGAACGGCCCCGCGGCCGCCCGACACAGAGGAGGAGCGGGAGGGACACACCGAGAGCCAGGCGCGGCCAGCGCCCCCGCGCCGCCACGGCCTGCGCCGCCATGACATCCACACCGCGCCGCCGCTTCCGCCCGCGCGTCACTGCCGCCGGCCCCGCTGGCCAATAGCAGCGCGGTCTGCCCTACTCGGGGCAGGCGATTGGCGGCAGCCCGGCCACGTGCTTTCCGCGGCGGGTTGTTACCCGCAGTCTCCGCTCCCGCCATGGTCGCTGTGCCTCCGTGGGGCGGCCCCGCGGTCCTGCTCCGTGCCCTGCCGCGGCCGTGAGGGTCCCGCGCAGCCCCCGCACGGCGTCGGCCATGGCGGAGCCTCGGCTCGCCGTGCGTAGGAAGAGCCGCTCCAGCTCGGAGCGCAAGCGGAGCCGGGCCCCGGTGCAGCCTGTTGCCGCTAGTTCGCCGGTGGCTCGCAAGAGACCGAGCTCTGTCAGCGAGGGATCCCCGGCGGAGGCGCTGGTAGGGGATGGCGGGATCCTGGGGCTGGTGGCGAGGCGGGGCAGCTCCGCTGGGAGGATGGTGTGTGTCGAGAACGGTCGTGTTGTTTTGTATGAGACGATATGCTGCCGTTTGGCTTTTGCTTTAAAAAAATAATCTCTATCATCTCTGTGTGCACGTATTCCCTCTCCTACTTGTAGGTTAGCTGTTTCACTTAGTCAAGGCATTTCTTCAGAACCTAAGCTGGGTTCTCCTCACAGACGACATAACACAAAATGCTTTTGTGTTAAGCTGGGGCAGACTTAAGCGCCTTGGCTCTGATGTTTGCGCTCGCTCTGCGTGTTATTCTGCCTTCTGTGGCGTGGCCTCAGGGTGTCAATGACTCCGGTTTCATTTTTGCAGTGCAGCAATGACAGCGAGGAGGATATGTTTGGTGACTATGACAGCTTCTATGGAAACGATTCCTTGATCGCTCAGGTGGATGATGTTGAATACAAGTACCTGCAGGATGAAAATATGGATGTGAAAGCAGCTGGAGAGGTTGTACTTGGGAACCTTCAGTCAGGAGTTCACCAGAAAGAGCAGGATAACTTCTCTGCTTCACAAAATGTGGTTGTGCTTAAAAGTGACAAAGAGGCTGCCTGCCAAATGCAGGACAGTGACCCAGCTGATAGCAATCAAAAATTAACTGAGTCCATTTTATATGACTTGCCATCTTCACAACTCCTGTATTTTGAAAAAATTGATGAACTTGCTGCTGCTTCTAGAATATCTCCACTCTCAAAAGGGAGAGATGAACGTGTGGATTCTTTCTCGGACAAAATCAGAGACCCATTGTCTTTTTATGCTGCTGCTGAACACAGGAACAGATCTATCGATTCTTCCTCACACTCCAAGTGTGTTTTATTTAAATCTGAGAGTCTCAAAGATCACCTGAAAAGTGCTATGACGGGAAATGCCAGAGCCCAGACTCTGCAGGTCTCCAAGACCAAGCAGCTCAAAGAAGCTGTTTTATCTGAAGAGATTTTTGTGGCTAGGAAAGCTATTGAATCTTCTTCTCTTGATATAGGCCCTTTTTATGGATTACCTAGCAAGGTTAAAGATTTATTCAGACAACTTCGAGGGATTGAAACACTTTATGGTAGTATAACCATTGGTCTGTTGGAAAAATAAAAAAAGAGAACTGCTAGTGGAGTATTGTCTGTTTCACCCATTATACTGTAAAAATATTTAAGGTAATGCTTAACATAAACCACATTGGAAAGTAGTTATCCTGTTTTAGGAAGTGGCTGTTTTGGTGTTTTGGATGGATGGTATCCATCTGGATTACAGAATAGTTTAGAAGTCACCATCACTGAAAGCTTTAAGTGCTTTTTTGAGGAAAAGCTCTCAAGGTCTGGGCTCGGAGTGTTATGAATGAAACACAGGCATTTTCATGTTAACTAACATTCCCCTGGGGTTGCTGATAGTTCCATTTTCATTTTGCAGAGTGGCAGCATGATTGCCTAATGTTAGAATCCCTACAGCAAAGGAAGAACTTGATATACTCATTGCCAACTGGTGGTGGAAAAACTCTTGTAGCTGAAATAATAATTCTCCAGGAATTGCTCTGCAGGCAGAAGGATGTTCTGATGATCCTGCCATATGTTGCCATTGTCCAAGAAAAGGTCTGGATACAGTGTTTCCTGCACTGCTTTTTTTGATATAACTCTTTCATGATAGCTTTGTTTACTTGCTCACATGCCTGGTTTGCAGTAAGGTTTTTATGAATATATGGTGGGAAGTGAGTGACCTCTTGTAAATGCTGCTCTGAGGGTTAGTAATTTTGGAATGGAACAGACACAAACTATGAGGTGAAGATATTGAGTTTTGAAGTAAAGGGTGCTGAATTTAGAAATAATGGCTTCTTGGGATGTTTTCTTTAGTTTGTGCAGCCTAAGAACTGTGCTGCCCAGCTTGCTAAAGAAGTGATCTTGAAATAAAAATGTATTTTGGTACAAAGGGAAAGTTATTTTTAGAGAACAGGTGAAATCCAGCTATAATATGTGTAGACAGTTGAATTTTTGTAGCTGGAGTAGATAATCTTAGCTAAGATGTTTCACTAATTCAAGCAGCTGATTGTGGTA